ATTTCTGTAGATACTTCACTCTTGAGGAGGTGGAATGTCACTCCCTAGTCCTTAAATGTGGGCTGTACATAGTGAATTCCTTCAAAAGCATACAGTATGGAAAGAAGGGGGAAAAAAAGAGTAGGTTTACAGTGGAAAACCCTGACAAGCACTACCTTACCCAGGTGATTAAGATCAACATCAACAGTGGTAAGTCATGTTGATAGTACACACCCTTGATAAGATGTGATGAGAAGGGCACTTTACCTCTATGGTCTTCCTCTCAAAAACCCATAATTCCAGTCTAATCACAAGAAAAACATCAGACAAATCCCAATTGAGAGACATTCTACAAAATACCTGCCCAGCACTCTTCAAAACTGGTAATTTCATCAAAAACAAGGAAAGTCTGAGCAAATGTCACAGCCAAGAGGAGCCTAAGGAGACATGATGAATACATGCAATGTGGTGTCCTTGATGAGACATTTAGGTTAACACTTCTGAATAAAGTATATACTTTAGCTAATAAAAAATAAAAATGAATGGTGGAAAGATTAAAGGATATCGATTTTAAAAGCTGACCATTTTCTTATTAAGTTACCTAAAGGAAGCCTTTAAAGCCCGTGGACATCACCACAGGTCTCATTTTAAAGATTCAACATATAAAACTAGTGTGGTTTATGGCCCCACAAAGCTTTTGATATGGGCTACTTTTTTTTTTTCAAGTTCAAAAAGCAGCAATAATGATTGCCATTCTCCCAGGCTAAGTGTTCAGGGAAGTTAGAGTATTATGAGAATGATGGAATCCAAAGTAGCTTTTCCTCCCCACACAATCCACACAGTTGCTCTAGTCAGATAGCTTGGAGAAAGCCTAACTGAGGTGATGATGATAGATTTCTCCATACACTGGAGCCCAGGATGTTCTCCTTTGTTCTCAGTTTCTCTCTGGAGGAAAACTATGACTTTTTTACAGTGGGCAGAACAAACACTGTTTCACAATTTACTTGGTGGATTTCGAGTACTGTCATGCTTTTCATTCTACCACATTTGACTATTAAGATGTTTTTCTTCTCTGGGAAGTAAGAAGTTAGGTGGAGACTTAGCAGGTGGTATGGGGGAACACAGCCTACACCATAATATGCTTAGGCTTTGAAGTCATCCCTAACTCTTTTCTATTTTATTCCCCACATCTAATTGGTCCTATCAATTCCCCCTCTGAAATTTCTCCAGAACTTATTCCTTCCTCTCTGTCTTTATTCAGGCCTTTTGATTGTTTGCCTAGATTAAAAAACAACAACAACGACAACAACAGTTTCACTGGTCTTCCAGTCACCAACCTACATTTCTCCTCAATCTACCTTCCACCCTGCCAAAAATTCTCTAAAACTCAAATCTGATCATGTCATTCCTGTGCTTTTAAATCATTTGATGGTGCCGTGGTTACAAGATTAGGTCCAAAAGCATACACAATCTGGACCCCACCTAGATTTCTAACTAAATCTCCTCCCACCCTATCCCCTGCTATCCTCCCTCCTGCTACAACTGCCAACACCATCCCCACCCCAGAAGCTTTAGGCCTCAGACAGGCAGACTCTGCTTCTTGAATATAAAGGGCTCTCTCATGCTACTGTGCCTATACCTGTGTTGCTCTCTCTGCCAAGAAATGTCTCCTCATTTGACAGAGAGTAGCAAGGGACACTAGGTAGAAGAACAAGGAGGCAAGGGAAAGATGGGAATCAAAGAGCATTACTAAAACAGCACAACGCTGGGATCATATCTGGGTGTTCCTTAAACATAGAATGAATGAATGAATGCATTGCTGACCATGAGGTCCAGGCTGCAGAGGCAGGCAAGTGAGAACGGACTATGAAAACAGCTCTGAATGTTTTGCTGTTACTCAAACCCTTTTTCCATTTTCCTCCCCCTTCCGTTCTTTCAGATCACCATGTTTATGTTTATTCTAATTTACAGACTACTATAACACTACCTCAGATGCATTTAACCATGCTATGCATAATTTATTTATTCATTCCTCATAAATCAAGCCCTCTAGTCATCTGGAAAACAAGAACCACTTTTACTGCCTTCCAAGCCCCTTCTAACTAATCTTTTTAGTACGTGCTATTGTGCTTGGTACAAAAAGCAGTATTTTATGCACAGTTTCACCACCAAATATCAAGGACTTTGTGACCTTTTTTCTGTTGTTGGTGTCTTTATTAGGAAATCCCATGTGAAAACATTAAAGTAGTACAATTAGAAACCAAAGCAAGAAAATTATCACTGCTATAATATAATGTATAAGTGTAGTAAGTGGACTGATTTTCATGTGTGGCTCATGGAAAGCAACCTCACTATTTTATGATCAGACCTTGTAAACCACAAGCAGTAATTCTTCTGTAAAGGCTAGTGAAAAGTGTTGAAGGAATACTCATGTGAAAACACATTCTATAATCATAGGCAATGTCAAAATCTTGTTCTGCCTAAGTTTTCTAGTCTATGAAATGGGAATATTGGATAGTCACTTAATCCAATCATCTACTGAGAGCAACATGAACATATAAAAAGTACTCTGAAGTTACAGATGGTATGAAATCATTTTCTATTAGAAGCAATGGGGATAACTAATCACTCTGGTTTAGCCAAAAGGCTTAAGTAGCCAATTTAAGCTATGGATTCCTTAACTGATCACTCTACCGGAGCCAGTGATCCTAGTACTTATTAGAATGGGTAATTAACTAGGTAATCTGCCTATGTATTCATTTATTGTGTTCCCCAACAATATCTAAGTTCTGGGTAAATGTTTGTCGTAATTCTACCACTGTATCCCCAGTCCCTACAGTAGTGCCTAGTTCATAGCCCCAGTGCTCAAAACCTATTTGTTAAATGAATGGATGAAGGAGCTTTTTCCTCACAGTGACAATAATGTTAATTCAGACTTCTTAGCATGACATTCAAGGCCCCAATTTACCTATTAGGACTTATATTCTGTCTTCTTATACCTGTGCATATTATGCCTGTTGATATCTCTGTAAAAGCTTGCTTTCTGCCTGAAATGCTCTCCTTATTGCCAAATAACTAACTGTTCAAGACCTTGCTACAATAAACCTTTTCTGTGAAATCTTCTCCAGTCCTTCACAGATACACACACACACATACATACACATATACACAATGCTTCCTCTGCTAAGTTCCTATAAGAGCTATAGCAGTTATATTAATAATATTGGGTTATAGCAGTAATAATATAATAGTACTTATATCTAACATTTTATTGAGCACTTAACTCTGCCAGGTATCGTTATTAATATAAGCACTTTATATGTATATGTATTATCTCATTTAATCCTAAAAACAACTTTAAGAGGTAGGTACTATCTTAAGTACTTATGTGGCCATTTAGCTAGCTAGAATCAACTTCATGAAGGTAGGGAAGGTGTCTCAAAGCCTTGCTAATTCCTAGAACCTAGCAAAGTGTCTACAGTGTCATGTGCCCTTAATACAAATTTGCTAAATTATGAATCCTAACAGTAATTCCTTGTCCTCTGACTTTATTTAGAGAATGGCAATCCTAGTCAGTTAAAGAACCAGATAGTAGTTTTAAAGTAATTATACAAATTTAATATTAAAGTGATAGAGTCCTTTCTAAGTACAACAAGAAACTTGGAAGTCATAAAGGAAAAGGGAAATATATCTGGCTATATAAAAATTTAAAATATTTGTAGATTTAAAAAAATCAAAGTTAAAAAAGACAAACCAGAAATAGAAAAAATTTTTTCAATTTATGTCAGACAGAGGAGTAATAATAATACATCAAGAGCTCTGATAAATAAATAAGAAAAGATAATCAGCCCATTAGAAAAAGAGGACAAACATATGGACAGGAAACTTCCAGAAAAAGAAATTAAAATGGTTCATAAACGTATGAAAATATGCTTAACTTTATTAATTAAAAAACTGAAAGTAAAACAATAATGGGAATTTTTATCCTATATTATGAAGATGAAAAAAGAATTATGATATTCAGCACTGGTAAGGTTGTGGGGAAATGAGCACTCTCACGCACTCATGCTACGAAACTGCTCTCAGGTACTTAAAAGATACATATATATATGCAGACAAGTTTGTTCTCATTGTTTGTAATAGCAAAACATTAGAAGCAACTGAAATGTGCATCAGTAAAAGCTTGGTTAGATAAACTACGGTACCATAAAATTGTATGCAGACACTGAAAAGAATGACGTAACTAGGTAACCAAATAACAAATGAGGGGAATTTTTATTTTACGTATGTATTCCAATTAATAAAAAATCCAATTACAAAAAGGGAGAAAGGATTGGAACACATACTTCATCAAAAAGGATATAAGGCTGGCAAATAAGCACATGAAACAATGTTCAACATCATTAGCCATTAAGGAAATTACATTGAAACCGTGATGAGATAACACTACAAATCTATTAGGATGGCCCAAATAAAAATTACTGAAAATACCAAGAGCTATTGAGGATGCAGAATAAGTGGAACTCTCATACATAGCTAGTTCAGATGCAAAATGGTACAGGCACTTTGGAAAATGGTTTGGCAGTTTCTTATAAAGTTAAACACACATTTACCATATACCACAGTGATCTTGTTCCTGGGTATACTACTCAGCAAGAAAAAGGAATAAACAACTTGGATAAATCTCCAAAGCATTAAACTGAGTGAAAATCGCCGGTCTCAAAAGGTGATGTGCTATGTGATTCCATGCACATGACCTCATCGAAAAGGAAAAAACTACAGGGACAGAGAAAAAATCAGTGGTACCAGGGGGTAGGGAGAAGGGAAGTCTGACTGTAAAGAGTAGCAAAAGGGAATTCTTCAGAGGGTTGAACGGTTCTGTATCCTGTCAATGGTGGTGGTTACAAGAATCTAGGCATATCTTAAAACTCAGGACCGTGTGCCAGAAAGTAAATGAATTTTACTGTCCATAAATTTAAAATAATTTTTAAAAGATAAATTATCATCACCAGTAATGATACCTTCTACTTCTCGGTCTAAGGGAGGAACGTCATCTCTCATGGAGAAATCCATAGCTGTCCCTGGAATGTCCATCAAGTCCTCATCACTGGAGCTGCTCCGGAAGCTACTAAAACTCCCCTGCCGAAAGCCTCTGTTATCCATGGCTCCTGTGCAGAAAGAAAATAGCAGGCTTACAACAATGACCTCCAAGCCCCTTACTGCTTTTTCTTTTTTTTTTGTTATTGTAATACACATAACATAAAGTTTACCATTTGAACCATTTTAAAGTATAAAATTCAGTAGCATTGAGTACATTTACAATGTGCAACCGTCACCACTATCCATTTCCAGAACTTTTTCATCATCCCAAACAGAAACTCTGTACCCAGCAAATAGTAACTCCCCATGCCCCAGCCCCTGGTAACCTCTATTATACTTTTTGTCTCTATAGATTTGCTGATTCTAGATATTTCATGTAAGTGGAATCACAAAACATGTGCCCTTTTGTGTCTAGTTTCTTTCATTTAGCATGTTTTCAGTGTTCATCCTTGTTACATGTATACATCAGCATGTATCAGCACTTCATTAATTTTAATGGCTGAATAATATTCCATTGTATGGGTAAATCATATTTTGTTTATCCATTCATCGGCTGATGGACATTTGTATAGTTTTCACTTTTGGTGTTGCCACTTAGTTTTATGTCTTCTTTTGTACTCTTGCTTTGACAATATAGACGTGCAAACTATTTAATGTATGCATGCAAACTACTTAATATGTTCAGTTACCCTCTAGATGTAATGTACCTCTGGCCTTACCATGTAGTTGATGGCAGTTTTTTGAGAATCATTCAAATGAGCATAAAACCAAATGAGGGCACATATAATGGGAGTTCACAAGTAATCAACTGAAATAAAAACTAGACATCTCTAATCTGTCATGGGGCTAGAGAAAAAAACTAGACAACAGTATTGAGAAATGTACATTTGGGAATGGAAAAAACATTATCTTATTCCTCTGACTCTCCCAGAGCTCCTAAGACAATGTACATGCAAAGAAATACTGCATGATTGACACAGGGGAAAAAGAGGAATACTGTGCCATTCAATGATGTTCTCAATAATTTAATATTAAAGATGAAAAATTTTCTACACATCAAGTGTAAATCTTCAGATTATAAGTTTTAGTCAAAAATTCTTAGTATACTGATTTAAAAAAAAAACAGCAGCATTATGGCCAATTTGACTTTATGAAGCCCTGTCTGCCCCCATTTTTTTTGTAATGAAATCTTGGTCAAAAATCATAACCAGAAAAGTTCTACTAGATTAGACAAATATTATTCCTGTTGAGGTTTCCAACTCTTCTAAGAAACTTCTTGCTCTAGGTTGTCAGAATTAAGTGTGATGAATGTGGTAAAAACCAAATAGGATAAATTAGGTAATAGGCCTGAAAAACTGGAATCAGAACAGACAAATATTGAGCATAAAGGAGAAAGAGCTGACATTTACCAGGTACTTATCAATTTCCAGGCACTGGTCTATGTGCTTAAAGTAAATTCTTCCATTTAATTTTTCCAACATTCCTATGCTATCGCATTATCACTTCTAGTGCAGATGAGGAAACTGAAGCTCAGAGAGGCCAAGTAACTTGCACAGTTAGTATTTTCTAAAAAGAATTAAGCTCCAAATCATGTGTTTAATTTTACAATACCTCACTAGTGATAAAGAGACCAAGCTGACTGAAGCGTGAGTGACATTTATGAACACCTACTGTGTAGGAATCATTGTGTGATAGTGGGACAGATAGAAAAATGATGCTGGGTAGGCCAGATGAGATGAAGACTAGGAGGCAAAGATTTACACAATGTATATACGTATCAAGACATCACACTGTACCCCATAAATAAGTACAATTATTATGTGTCAATTAAAAATAAAATTTAAAAAATGCATTCTAAGTAGTCTTCTTTAATACACAAAAATAGCTTAAAATCTGTGCAGATGTGAATTAAATAATAGGTTATACTAGAACATTACCATGCTTACATGATGATATATGGTCAGGTAAGGAAGGGGACAAATTTACTCCAAGGTACTAATAATACAAAATTATTGATCATAAAACCATTTCCTGAGCTACAAAAACTAACCTTGCTGTGTGGATCAAATGAGTGCTGGGATATTGTGAAGTCATGTTTTGCAGCCTCAGCCGAGCTCTCGTTGCTCACCAATCCATCCTTGCTGGACTTTTCCCCTTTCTCTACCTTGTCTTCGTCACTCCCTTTCTCCTGAGAGTACTCCCTCAATAATGCACTTAAATAAAACTCCTTGTCTCAGTTTCTGTGTCTAGGAAACTGGACCTAACGCAGGATTCTTAGCAGGTTTTTCCTATTACTAAGAACACATAGGAAATCTTGACTCTGTCTTCCCTCCTGTCATCCAGGAGGACGTATCTTTACTCTTTAAGAAAAAAACAAAAACTTTCATTCTGTGTTGATGTTGGTCAAATTGTTAAGAGTGTATCCAAAAGCATGTTTACATTGGGCTTTTGGGTTCATGCTGGCTCATGGAAGCTCATTTCCTTTTTTAATGATGAAAATCTTTTGTCTGCTTTACAAATAACCATACCCTATAGTGAACACTGCAACATTTGACAAGGACAAGGCCAGCAAACATTGTTGGGTAGTATTCAAATAACATAACATTTGGATCTCCTAAGCAAGATTAACAGCATTGCACAGAATCACATGACAAAGCTACCCATTTAAGGGCTTATTTCACTTCTAAAACTTGTTATTTCTTGGAATACCACTCGCAGGATCTGTATTAAGTATACTATGCATATAAACTTATTACTCTTTATCTTATTTGCAAGAATGACTCACTGTTATCAGCAGACAGGGCCATGAACATACACGAGTAACATGTAACAGCTACAACCAAGGCTAAATGATTAAATCATGACTTTCTTGTAAGCTCCTGGACCCCTTCCTGAAAATTTTGATCTTAACTTTTGACTCTATGTGTCAATGTTTTCTGCTCTTGCTTTGAACCTGACATCAGTGGATTCCTTTAAACCAGTAACGTTTCTATGTTGATTGCTAATTTTCTCCCACTTTCCCAATTTCTCAACTGATTCTGGAGGGAATTCAAAATTTGGAAAAACATAAACTTCCTGAGAAGTACCAGAAGGAATACTCACGTGAAATCACTACCTGAAACAGATCCTTGGGCTTTTCTTGAGGTGCATAATCCTGACACTCTTGAAGATTATAGGCCAGTTATTTGGTAAACAATATCTCAATTTTGGTTTGTCTGATGTTTCCTCATGAACAGACTCAGTTTTACGCAACTTTGGCAGGAATATCAGAGAAGTGATATGCTGTATTCTTCTAATTGCATCCTGTCAGAGGGCACATGCTATTTATTTGCCCCATTAATGATGATATTTGATCACTTGATAAAAGTGGTGTATTCTAGGCCTTTCCATTGTTAATATATTGTCTTACTATCTTATGAGGAAGTACTTTGACACTAAGTAAATAAGTTATTTCTTATAAAACATGTCATTTATTCAATCATTTGTTTATATATAAATAACTCCTATTTTATTTGATGGGTTATTATCCCTTGCTATCATTATTTTCATGTTCAAATTTTCCAAAATTTGGCCAGTGAGAACCTCTTCAAGCGGGTTTCCATATACCTTTGGCATGTCCCCATCATGCTTTAAGAATTCCCTTAATTTCTGTCATACAAGACATTCTAGACTTGTCTTGTACTTTCATGCTCCATCCTTGAAATCAGCCATTTCTTCAAGGAACCCTGAGTCTTTTTAGTTAGGAATGGTATTTAGAAGGCATGATCTGGGTGCTCGTTGACATTTGGGTGTTGCTGTTCCCAAGCTCTCTCAGTGGACAAAAGTAGGGAACACACACACTCTCACACACACAAATACACACATTTTCACATATATTCTCTCATCCACATACATATATTGACAGAATATATGTTTTATATATATATGAATATTTACACTTACATATGTTAATATATATACACATATATAACCATAAATTCTCACTTATACCTCTGATTTCAATCCAACATGACAGGGCTCAATCTAGTTTTTCCCCTTCCTATATTTTTACCTTTCTTCACTGACAATGAGAAATCTGGATCCTATTACCCTTAATTTTTTTACTTTCTTGAACAATTCCCCCCCTGTATATAACCAATCTCCCATTTCCTCCCCAATTATTTTCCCTGCACAAGTGGTCTTCTCATATATATTGGGCTGACTCACAAAACTGAGCCATTACTCCATGTAGATGCCAACTTTACCTTGCTCAGGCTCTGACACCCACAGCAGGCTATATATCCACATGAAAGTCCAGATGCCATCTTCAAAATGTTTAAGCTCCAGCACCCCAAGCCAAGCTACCTTCTAAGCGGGTGCCCTTTTCACATCACTTGGGCTCTGACTCCCTAAGTTAGGCCACCTATATGTACAAATGTCCTCTTCAAATAAACAAACAAAATAAATAAAAAGAAAAAGAAAACAAATAGCCCCTCCACTTTGCTCTGGATCTTAACTCCCACCTGAGATAACAGATGCTTCCCAACCTTAATCTGATTATTTATTTTATCTTTTAAGTTAACCTACTATATCTAACTCTCATCTCTCCCTCAAATTCCAGTCCTGAATTCCCAAGAACTCCATTTGACACTTTTATTGCTACTCTAAACTCAATAGAAGGAAAATGAAAAGGCAGTGAAAATAATATTAACCTAAACACAAATAATACAATCCAAACAAGACATGTCCCTTGCCCTTACCCCACCCCCATCAACTTCCCTTTTTAAATGCAGGCAGCATCAGAGTCAATATTTATAGTTAATGTTTATCTAACTCTGGGATTTACTACATTCAACGAACCTACAAAAAGCACTCAATCACATGAGTAGGCACTCCAGGTTTCTAGAAATCTTAGCTGAAAACAAGCACCATTTTAGCTGATAAGAGCTGAGGCTAATAGAGTAGCACAATTAAAGAGGTTTTTTTTCAGTATAAATTTATTAACATTAAATGCCTATGAGTCCCATATGGTGACTAGCACTGAAAGAAAGCAAGAAAATTTGTAAAGTGATGCAGAATTCCCTTTCCT